TCCGAGGAGCCGCCGGAGCCCCAAGGCAGGCGGGGGGGCGGGGCGAGCGGGGTCCCGGCGTCTACACAGGACGCAGGCCTCGGTTCTCCTAATGAGGGTCCAGCATCTTCGCGCTGGGCGCTGTGCAGACCCGGGAGAACCAGCAGACAAACAAAACACGGTGCTCATGGGAAGATTCTCAGAGTCGTATTTATTTCTGTAAATTGATGTCATTCACCTAACATTTATTGAGCAACCACAGTGCAAGTCGCACAGTGACTCATTGGAGATATATTTTTTAAATAATAATAATAATATAATTATAATAATAATATCCTGCCCTTAAGAAATGTGCATCTCCCAGGTCGGACGCAGTGGCTCCTGCCTGTAATCTCAGCACTTTGGGAGGCCAAGGCAGGAGGGTTGCTTGAGCTCAGGAGTTCAAGACCAGCCTGGGCAACATAGCAAGACCGCGTCTCTACAAATTTCAAAACTTAGCCAGGTGTGGTGTCGCGCACCTGTAGTTTCAGCTACTGGGAAGGCTGAGGCGGGAGGATCGCTTGAATTCACGGCTGCAGTGAGCCGTGATCGTGCCACTGTACTCCAGTCTGGGCGACAGTGAAAACCCAACTCAAAAAAAAAAAAAGAAAGAAAGAAAAGAAAATTCCGTTTCCCCCTTTAAGAAAGAAGAAAAACACAAGTCATTATACGAAGCAGGTACTGAAACATGAAGATATATCATGCGAAGGCAGTTCTGGGAGGAAGATAACGTCAGGGAGGTGGATAAAGTGACATGTAAGCTGGACTTTAAAAGCTAGGCAAGACCCAACAGCCAGGTGAGAGATGGTGGGAGGTGTTTTGGCTAGACTACAAACTGATAAACGAGGTTGGAAAAATAGTAAAGCCCTTGAATGGCAGACAGTAAGCCAGGAAGTTTGGCTCCAGAGGTTAACTCTTGATCGATCTTGATCTTGATCTTGATCAAACATTAAGCTCAGGCATATCAGAGCCAGAATCCTTGCTTCTCTTAACCATTATGCCAAACTGGGTTGGTTTGGGGGGGGCGGTGGGGGGGAGAGAACGGAGCTGCAATCAAGCAACAACATTAGGAATGGTTTGGTGAGGAGAGACTACAGACAGAGAAAATCAATCGGAGGGTATTCACTAGTTCAAGCAAAAGAAGGAAGTAGGAGTTGAGACCCAGAGGGAAACATAAGTGGAAGCAGAGTAGGGTGAATGTCAACTCCACCTGTGAAGGCAGGAAAGGGAGCCATTTGCCAAGTAAGGAAATGAGAAATGAGTGAGTAGGAGGATGGTGGTTGCATTCAGATAAACAGGAAACAAGAAGGAGAAGTAGGTTTTGGTAAAACAAACAAACAAACAAAAAAGTTTAACTTGACACATTTTTATTTGATGTGTAAACAGATCTTGCTGGCACCAAGAAATTGGAAATACACGATGAGCTGCTAGGTAGGTGACAGCTGTACAGGGGTATGCACTACAAAGTGAGATTTGCATTGGTCTTTGTTATCTGAATGCTTATCCATTAATCTTAATTAATTTAACAAATTTGTTGTGCATGCCTGCTACGTTCCAAGCATTTTGCTGGATGTCAGAGGCACTGCCCTAAACACTGTTTAAAACATGAGAAATGTGTAGTAAAACTCTACATTTCATTAATTATCAAAAAAGAATAGACTTGTTAAAATACTTTTCATGTGTGGTTTTCCAAGCAAGCACTTCCTATGGAGAAATGTTTTTAGACCTGTAGCGTATTTTCTAGCAAAACTAAAGAAAAAAGAAGCATCTGTGAATATTTATGCTTTCATATTTGAGTCAGTTCTTCCTATACTTTCTATGCATTCATGTATCATTGGAATTATAGTGTTGTGAATTTAGGGGCAGAACTCGGATATTATTTTCTAAAACATTTTATATTTCAACAGTCTTAAATTTTGCAAAAGATATGTTTTGTCTTTGAACTTAAAAAAATACTTAATATGAAGTAATCCTTATGACTTCTCTAAATCATGTGTCTGCCAGTATCATCCTGAGGTGTAATGAAATTCATTAATAACACAAACAAGGGCACCAGTGAAACACGTCATTTTTTTTTTTTTTTTTTTTTTTTTTT